TGTGGATCATAACAAATTATGGATAACATTGCAAAGCATGGGAATTCTGAACACTTAATGGTGCTCATGCAGAACCTGTACATAGACCAAGAGGCAGTTGTTCGACCAGAACAAGGGGATCCTGGTGATTTAAAGTCAGGAAAGGTGTGCAGCAGGGTTGTATCCTTTCACCATACTTATTCAATCTGTTTGCTGAGCAAATAACCTGAGAAACTGGACTATATGAAAAAGAACACGGTATCAGGATTGGAAGAAGACTCATTAACGACCTCCGGTACGCAGATGACACAACCTTGCTTGCTGAAAGCGAAGAGGACTTGAAGCACCTACTGAAAAAGACCAAAGACCACAGCCTTCAGGATGGACTACACCGCAACATAAAGAAAACAAAAATCCTCACCACTGGACCCATAAGCAACATCATGATAAACAGAGAAAATATCGAAGGCAAGGATTTCATTTTACTTGGATCTACAATCAATGTCCATGGAAGCAGCAGTCAAGAAACCAATCAACGTATTGCACTGGGGAAACCTGCTGCCAAAGACTTCTTTAACGTGTTAAAAGCAAAGCTGTCACTTTGAGAACTAAGATGCACCTGATCCAAGCCATGATATTTTCAACTGCCCCATATGCATGCAAAAATGGGACAATGAATAAGAAAGACCAAAGAAAAGTTGATGCCTTTGAGTTATAGTGTGAGTGAAGAATACTGAATATACCATGGACTGCCAGAAGAACCAACAAATCTGTCTTGAAAGTACAGCCAGAACGCTCCTTAGAAGCGAGGATGGCGAGCCTTGGTCTCGCATACTTTGGACATGTTATCAGGAGGGAGGGATCAGTCCCTGGAGAAGGACATCATGCTTGGTAAAGTAGAGGATCATCAAAAAAGAGGAAGACCCCCAAGGAGATGGACTGACAGACACAGTGCCTGCAACAATGGACTCAAACATAGCAAGGATTATGAGAATGGTGTAGGACCAGGCAGTGTTTCATTCGGTTGTACACAGGGTCGCTATGAGTCGGAACCAACTTGATGGCACCCAACAACAACAATAATATATGCATATAGAATTACTGTTCGGGATAAACTTTATGTTCAAATTTCAGTGAGTTCTGATTATTTTTAACAAGCCTCACTAAACAGAAGTAGCCCAATTCAATTGAGGCAGATGCCTGCACGCCACCTGCCTCTACTCTCCTGAGTTACAGCCAGTTTTCAGTAAGCACTGAAATCCATCCAGTCATGTGCAAGTCAGCTAACATGCTATTCTTTGCATAAATCTGGTTTTTATTTGCATTGGAAGGCATCAATTACCACATGCTACGATGTATAATTAAAGTAAATGTGCTGTTTCTATTAGCCTTACTGTTGTTGGGTGCCATCAAGTCGTTCTGGACTCATGGTGACCCCATGTTACAGAGTAGAACGGCCCCATAGGGTTTTCTAGCCTGTAATCTTTACGGGAGCAGATCGCCAGGTCTTTCTCCCGCAGAGCAGCTGGGTGCGTTCAAACCATCAACCTTTCAGTTAGCATCTGAGTACTTAACCTTCTGAGCCACAAGATAATATTTATTACTGCAAGAATAAAAGTTGTGATTTTAACTAAGGCACATTTCAAGACAAGAAAGTCTACCACAATCTGAGATGTCTACGACCTTATAAAGTTAACAACCTAAAGATTATGTTGATTAGTAACTTTACTTTGAAGTTTAAAAACAAAAATCATCATTCAGCTTACAAGAAGGCACTATAAACAATTTGAAATGATGTGCTTCACAAAGACAGAACCAAATCTGAAGTTTCAGAGCTTTTAGTCAAAAAGGAGCTCCGGTATTGCCTTGTATGATGTTTCTCTCAACGAACAAAAAGAGTTCCTTCATTTGCTAAATAGCTGCCTTTCTATTACCATATGTACTGAAGATTGTACCAGCTTCTTGGGATCTCACCTTTATCAGTCGCCAATAAAGTTGATTCTGACTCATGGTGACCCATGCGCGCCACTGTAGAACTGTGCTCAATAGGATTTTCAATGGCTGACTTTTTTGGACGTGGATCACCAAGCCCTTATTCTGAGGTGCTTCTGGGTGGACCTGAACCTCCAAACTTTCAGTTAGCAGCTAAGCACATTAGCTGTTTGCAGCACCCAGGGACTCCCTTGAAATCTTAGTGGTTGAAAATACAGGAGAGAAATACTGAATAATTAATGGATGATTCCAGAAAAAGTTTTCCAGATTTGAGAGAGAGAATAAAATTGGGTGAGGACAAAGATAAGGTGACAGGTTTGAGGGAACAGCACTCAGGTTCATGACTGCCTTTTCTGTGAAGCAAGAGGTGAGGCTGCCTGCTATGTAGGCCTATAGGAGGGGGTAAAGGAAGTAGCCATTGCCGTGGAATCCATTCCGACTCATAGCGATGCTATAGAACAGAGTAGAACTGCCCTATATGGTTTTCAAGGCTGCAATCTTTATGGAAGCAAATGATCACATCTTTCTCCCACAGAGCGGGTTCACCAACCTTTTTTGGTAACTAGCCAAGCACTTTAACCACTGCGCAATCAGGGCTCCTAAGGTGGCTAGGGAGGTTTAAGTGATGAGAGTTAAGAGTCACTGTGAAGCATGGGAAATGTGACTGGGGCAGTTCGAAGAGATGAGGCCCAGTTGTGGCCAGGCACCACAAAGCTGTGGAGGTGCCAACAGCAGGCATTCAATGTTTGTTGAAAGAGCCTGTGGAAAGGGGCACTGAGCTGGAGGTGAGACTTGGACTTTGGCCCTAGCTCTGCCACCAAACCATCGGACGGCTATGGCAAGTCGTTTCTCATTGTGAAGGGTCTCTACTGTTCAGTTCTGTTTTTGTTGATAAAAACCAACACTGAACTAGACAGAGTTAAGAACAGAGCATGCCACTAAAGACCTCCCTCTTTGCAATACACTGTTAGTTGGCATTCTCTGGCTAGTTGTTTCAATTAGTTATTAATCCACCTAATTCACATTAGTCCATCTAATTCACCAGGATGGTGTGAAAGATTTGTTGAAATAAAAATACGGTTCCCTGGCTGGATATTTCTTTTCACACGCACCCTCACAAAAAGAATATCTGGGGAAATGTATGTTTCGGATTTCTTGCCCACAGGGCAGTAAACACTGGCAAGGAATAAATTTGACTTTATTGTTAAATGTCAAATGTAAAGGGCATTTTTTAGTTACCCTCACGTGTGCAATCCAGTCTCGAGCTCAGGTGTCCTTAACACTAGGTCCTGGGTGGGCTTTTAAGGAGGGTTCATAAACACCCTGAAACTATACGCATACTGGATTTCTACACGCACGTATGCACAAACTTCCTTTAGATTTTTGAAGTATATCCATAACGCCCCACCAAAAAAAAAGTTTAAAAATCACTGCTTTAAGTATAAAAGTTATTTTTCTTACGCAAGTTTCCTTATTAGTTCATAATGAGTCTTATTTCCATAGCGTCTATGGTTAGTCTCTTTCTCCTTTAGGCAAGGAGAGTTGGACAAAATTGCTTTGTACATCTTACCCTATGACTCTACCGGATGAAAACGCAGATTCATATAAAAACACCCAAGTGTTGACACTGCACGTGTATTGGTTCCACAGTTTAAAAGCAGTTTGCAGACTTCATCTTCGTCGATCCTAACTAGTTGTACAATTTGGGACGACTTAGTTCACTTCTACAGCACCGAGCGCAGAAAACAAAAATCGATCGCTGAGCGACGAACAAGTGCGTTTTTCATCTATGAGTGAGGCGACTGGAGAAGGTGGCTACACAGTCCCTTCCGAGCTCCCAGATTCCAAGCTTTTATGATTCACTTAGCCGCTGCATTATTGAGCCACATCCATTTTGCAAGTTCTAGGTAATCCCACTAGGGCCATCTCTAGTATGTCCCACAGGGAATTCGATGGCGGGCCGGAGGCTGTCTGACGTTAAATCATCCTAATGTCGCCTCACGCGTTTCACGGGGAGAGTCAGATCGAGTTCCGTGCGCCACGGACTATCTCTCATCAGCCCTCCAGCACCCCACAGGGGAGCATCTCTGTCACGCTCACGGACCCTCTCTCCCGACCTCCTCACAAGACACCAGCCCCGTCGGCCCTGCAATAGCGACTCGCGCCGAAACGCCACAAACGCCGTCGGCGACCTCCACGTGACTAATGCGCCTAATCGCAAACGCCGACTGCGGACTACGGCTCCCCCGACTAAGGCCAGCGCGTGGTACGCATGCGTGCGGCAGACGCGCTTCGGCCGGCGACGGTCGCGCTCCTCCCGGCGACGACTTCCAATTAGCTGAGCGCATGCGCTACGTGACGCCGCTACGCACGGAAGGAGGTGCTGCCGACCAAGGCCCCGGCGCGCCTGCGCAGTAGCTGGACGCGGGCGTTTTTTTCCTTTTTTTTCCGAATTGGTTGAGGGGTAGATTCTAGTTACAAAATGGCGGCCGGGAGCGTGTTGGGCGCTATTCCCCTGGCGGCCTGTGGCTGAGCGGACAGCTCTCCCGTCACCAGCGAACTGAGAGAGACGAGGCACCGGGGGACATGGTGTTTGAAACTCCGGGCTTGTTGACCACGAAGTTCTTTGAGGCTCTTAGCGCACCGGAAGCGACCAAGCGCGCCCGGCCGGGGAACCCGCAGCCGCTTCAGACCCCGGCGCCGAGACTGCGGACCGCCTCTTTGCCGCGCCCACGGCCCAGCGAGTGCGGCGGCGGCCGCCAGCGAGGTGAGAGGGCAGGAGCCGGGGGCAGGCCTGGGGAGGGGCGCCGGCGGGGCGCGGGGCTTTGGGCAGGCCTGGAGGGTGGGGCGGTGACCGCAGCGACGCAGCCGGGGCTGTTTGTGAAGCCGGGCCCGGGCCGAGCTGCCGGGCTGCAGTGTCCGGCTCGGTCAGCCTCGCCCCGGCGCGGGGCCCCTGCGGCCCAGCGGAGGTAGGCGGCCGAGCGGGCAGGGGCCGTCCCCGCGTGGCCTTCTCGGGTGGGTTTCGGCGGTGCCTCTGGGCACTCCTTTCCCCTTTCCGTCTCACCTCTCGCCGAGCCCCGTCCAGTGCCTCTTCGGCTAGGCATCCCGGGCCGTCGGACACCCCGTTCCATTGACAAGCGGTCCTGAGATCGGCGCTTTCCCCCAGACGTCTCCCTAATTGTTGTTGATTCGGACTCAGAGCGACCGGATAGGACTGAGGCGAACAGCCCCATAGGGTTTTCTTAGGCTGTAATCTTCACGGAAGCAGATCGCCACATCGTTCTCCCTCGAGGACACTAGTGGATTCGAACCGGTGACCTTTCCGTTAGCAGGGAAAGGTCGCTTTAACCTCGTAAATAAGCGTACTGACATCCGTGTTTTCATCTTTAGAGTGAACTGATGGTTGACTCAAGTTCAACCCCAAGAGCAGGAATGCACCAGGTAGCAGAGACCACGTAACTTAACTAGGCACAGATAAAGTTTAATTGAGTTTCAGTTTCCTGTCAGGTTACTTCTTACCTGGGAATGACTTCATAGCTTGATCCCTTCCTACTCACAAAGCACAAACGTTTTGTAAATTCATCATCATGGTGGCAAGCAGATAAGACTTGCTAGGTACCAGGCCTTGTTCTAAGGACTTTACAGAGATTTCTTGTCTGTTACGGCATAAAAAGAAATTTATTGTTCAAAGTGTCAATCAACTTTAGATTTGGTAAAATACTGTTTCAAAGTCAGGCTCATAATTCAAGTTTCTCTCTTTTTCCGTCCTACATTTTTAAGTTTTGGAGGAAAAATAATATTTTATAGCCATTGCGTCTAACAAAACTTGTTTCTTTAATAATATTTATTAAACCCTCCCTGTGCTCCAGATACTGTTCTAAACTAAGCTCTTTTCATTTGTTTCATTTAATTCGTTTATCTCTTCCCCATTGTACAGATGAAGAAATTGAGGCACAAAAATGTAACCTGCCCAAGGTCTCACAGCTAGAAAATGGCATAGTTGAGATGCTAGTGTAATGCATTGCTTTCTCAAATATGTAATACCTGAAATCACCCGTTCAGCAACAGATAGAGCACCTGTCTTGAGCTGGACAGGGTTCAGGGCATTTGGAATACATCAGTAGACAAAGCAAAGATCCCTGCCATCTGGTATATACTGATTCAGCTAATGTGGTAGCACATGGAAGCAGCTATGTTAGACTATTTTATAATGCCAGTTATCTCTTCAGTTGTGGATAGTTGTTAGATGTTAAAAATTTTACTCCTATTACAGTTTTTGCACCTTCAGCTCCATGCTTTTTTACCCACAGTTAATCTCGAAAAACAAAAACGACCATTTCAACTTCTCATCTTTTCTGCCCTCTGGTGGAGGTTGTTAATGAGTAGGAAAATGGCTGGAAGAATCCACACAGAGACTTGGCCCCTAAGCAGATCCATACTGGTTATAAGGAATTATGTCTACAAGTACCTTGTTTGGATGACAAAGGTTAATAGCAGAAGTTAACAGACTGTTTTTGGGGAGGCATTAAAAAGAGAAAGATTCTCAGGTAATAGTTGAAAAATACATGTGTTAAATCTGATACTTTGTATTTTAGAACCTTAACCAAAACCCCTTGCCATCAAGTTGATTCCAACTCATAGCGACCCTACAGGACAGTAGAACTGCCCCATAGGGTTTCTGAGGAGCAGCTGGTGGATTCAAACTGCCGACCTTTTTGGTTAGCAGCTGAACTCTTAACCACTGTGCCACCAGGGCTCCGCTTTAGAACCTTAGACATTGAAGTTGTTTATAATCAGAAAAAAAGCACATACTTGTAAAATAAAAATTCAAATATTATTAGAATGTTGTTGAAAGCCCCTATGTAACCACTCTACAGGGGATCAGATTTTCGAGGCCTTTGGAGTACCAGCATTTGAATTTTGTTTTGTAGATCCTAGAGAGCAGTAGGCGGTATCTAAGTTTGTGAGTATCTTAATGACCGTGCGGTTCCAAGAAGCTTAGTCTGGTGGGTTGAAGGCAGATGAGAATGAGGAAAGACTGTCAAGAAGAGTCCAGGTGGGTTTCAGGAGCCCTGGCAGGTACCCAAACCTGAATTCCTGGGCAAGATGGGTAGCAAAGGAAATCGAAAGGGTTTTTGTCCATTCAGCTGGTGTCTTAGGGAAGGTGTCACAACCAGAGAGCTCTCAGTTTGGTGTTTTGGTTTGTTTGAAGGGTTGTGAATTCTCAGGATGTTAGTACATCCATATCAATCATATTTTGAACTTCAAAATGATGTCTTAACAGTATGCAGTTTGGGTGAATTAGATGTTCATGCTTGGGAAACATGTTTTCTGGTGGCACAGTGGTTAAGCGTTTGGCTGCTAACAGAAAGGTCGGCAGTTCGAATCCACCAGCTGCTCCTTGAAAACCCTGTCGGGCAGTTCTGCTCATGTCCTATAGAGTCACTATAAGTCAGAATCGACTCGATGGCAGTGGGTTTTTTGTTTTTGTTTTTTTTTTAATCTGTAGCCTAAAGAAGAGTATTCATGTTGTGAAGGTATTTCCAATACCTTATTAAAATTCTTACCTAAGAGTGGACTTCTTTAATGGGTCATCCTAATGAGAATTTTTAATATTAAAAATGTTTTGCCTGTGTCAAGACTGTAAGTGTAATTTGCATAGAATAATTTAGTTAAGCACTTGTTGATTATGTACTATACTTAAGGTTCCAGATTTTTAAAAATCAATATTTTAATTTTTTCTAATGGAGTTGATTCAGTGTTGGTCAGAAAGAGTGCCAGCATGCCTTCAGAGCCCCCCACCACCTCCCAGCCTCATCCCTTATTGGATATATAATGCGGCAAGCCTAACAGCACCGGCATAAAGTTCTCCCTGAAACAGTTCCCACTGGTATCAGGAATGTTTTTGTCTCGTGTCATGCTAGAATGAATTCTAAAAATTACTTTTAAGAGTTACGTTTTTATCTAGAAAATTAAGCTGTTTACTTTTATTTTCTATAACTTAGGTTTGAAAAAATGGCCAAAAGAATTGCTGAAAAGGAATTGACAGATAGGAATTGGGATCAAGAAGATGAAGCAGAAGAGGTAAAAAGTAGTTTCTGTAAGAGTGATTTCATGCTTCTAAGTTTAAATTCATTTTGAGGTTTCTTAATGAAGTCTTGTGATAAAAACTAAAAGACCTTTTGTATACATCCTGAACAAGGAAGTACTGTGGTTCCTTATGCCCTGTACTTAGCATGGAAAGCTATTAATTACACTTGGGTGGGCTCTTCCACTAACATCTATTCCTTAACTGTTCTGCTCCTTTGTAGAAGCAGCTTCTTCCTGAATGTCATAAACTTGCAGCATTCTAAACCATGGTTTAGAGTCAGTCATTGTAGTCGTGACTACAGGTTAAGTGATCTGGTCATTGAAGTTTAACACAGCGCTGGCGCTCAGACTTGAAAAGTAGTTCACCACCAGCATCTTGGTCTGCCAAGCCCATAATTTTAGATTTCAGAAGCTTGAGGTTGCCACCCTTGTTCTGATGCTTCTTGGAAGCCTGCTCAGTGGATCTGAGACCCCCCAAAAGTTGATTAATAGGAATAGAATTAGATACTGTGCCTCCTCGGGTTGGCCTGGTTTACCGCCAACAAAATAGAAATGGTCTTCCTTGAGGGGATCTTGTAGTTTTTCTCATGTAAATAATAAGGCGTGGCCACATTTCTAGTGCCTCATCAGCAGTTTGAGACTCCTGGGCCAGTTCACTAAGGAAATCTGTAACCAAGTTAGCCTTTCAAGTTGTCAGAATAGAGCTAAGTTAAAAAAAAAAAAAAAAGCCTGCAAGAGTGTTTCCAAGCTTATTTTTAGACAGCCACCTTCCTGCTTTCTGAGTCTACTTTCTTTCTAGTATAATATGTTTTCCTTTACAAATATATGAGCTAATAATGCTTGGGTAAATGAAAATCACGGATATATTAATGTGTTGACAGGGCTTTTAACATTTCTAACTGGTTTGGTGCTTTTTGACTAAGCCTTTGGCTGTGGATATTTTTCTGGGTCTCCGTACAGTTACATTAAGCTCTAGACTACCATATATGATTTGCTTTGGCATTAAAATATTTCAGGAATGAAAGAACTCACATTTGGACAGTTTCTAGTGAAATGAGTGTCGAAAGACTTTCATTTTGGGCAAGTACAGCCAAATGGCCCCTTCTGTGGGTATTAGGGACTCTTTTAAATTTAACGTGATCTGAAATAAGTATACCAAAAGCAAACCTGTTGCCATCGAGTTGATTCCAACTCATAGTGACCCTATAGGACAGAGTAGAACTGCCCCATAGGGTTTCCAAGGAGTAACAGGTAGATTTGAACTGCCAACCTTTTGGTTAGCAGCTGAGCTCCTAACAGCTGCACCACCAGGGCTCTGAAATAAGTATAGATGAGACTGTTTTTTTACAGAAAGTATTTTATACCCGTTCTAGAGGGCGAAAGAAGGGTTGACGTGGAGCCAGAGAGCTTCAGCAGGTTGATAGGGCGGATTAGTGCTTTATAGTGGTTTAGCATATGGGAAAGGGCGGTCGTTTTCCAGCAGGGTCACTTAGAGTCCTTGGTTCCTCAGTGGCCTTTCGAGCAATGGACAAGCAGGCTCTTCTTAAAAATAATATGTGTATGTGAATGATAACATAGATCCAGCCCACTGCCATCGATTCTGACTCAGCGGTCCTATGGGACAGAGTGGAACTGCCCCAGAGAGTTTCCAAGGCTGTAAATCTTCACGGAAGCAGACTGCCACATCTTTCTCCCACAGAGCAGCTGCTGGGTTCAGACTGCCGACCTCTTGGTTAGCAGCTGAGCATTTGAAAACTAAGTAGTAAGATACTGGATTTGGGCATCTGGATTTCAGAACTGGTGCTGCTACCAACTAATTAGGGTCTCTAAGGTACCTTCTAGCTTTTGGATAGTAGATTTTGCTTCTTAAAATTGAATTTTTAGTCTAAGTTTTATTAGTATCTTAGAATGTACCTGAGATTAATTCGAGGACTTGGTTATTAACAGTTTGCATCAACGTTTGCATTGTAGTCTTCTCAGAAATTTTTGTGCGTACGTGCCGGGTGCTGCTTTCTGTGAACTGTGATTTGAAGATCTGGAAGATTTGTGACGCACCTGATTAGAACTGGAATTCACGAGATAGAAAACAGATTTAACTTAACTTCCTTGTAGTTTGTGTTACGTAGTAATAATATTTGAGAACCAGCAGATATTAGATAAGTTTATTCTAGCTTTTTTGCTCATTCTGTTTCCTTTTTGCCCTTGTCTTACGCCTTCTTAATTTGTGCCCTCCTGCAGGTGGGAACATTCTCAGTGGCCAGTGAGGAAGTCTTGAAGAATAGAGCCATAAAAAAAGCAAAACGTAGAAATGTTGGATTTGAAGTGAGTGTTTTCTTACAGAGCTTTTGATATTACAGCCAAGTTTGACCTCTGAGTCACAGCGAATTTCCACCTCTGGGAGCAGTCAGACCAACATACTTTTTAAGAATGCTTACTCCCTGTAAAAATCCTTGGTGTGGGCGTGGGAAATAGATTTTTTTTTAAAGCACGAAATCTGTGGCTTTAAAAGGAAGCTTATCCAGTAGAGAAAAGATAATAGTTTCAAATTGAGTGACTATAAGGAAGAAGAAAAACAAGTGTAGCAATACAAAAGGCCAGAGAAGTGGTGTCAGGTGGGAGTAAGAAAGGGAAGTAGAAGTATATTCTCAGGCCTCTCTACTTCCTGGGATTGAGTGTGGGTGGGGGAGTCCTTAAACTATAACGGAAGCACTGCACTTGCCAGTTATTTTCCCAGTATGATAGTATAAAAAAACCAAACCATACCCGTTGCTGTCAATTCAATTCTGACTCATAGTGACCCAATAGGAGAGAGTAGAACTGCCCCATGATAGTACAGTGTATTAAAATGTCCCATCCCAGTGCTTGAAATATAAAGACAAGTTTTTACTCTTGAATTGAAATCGTTGAGCCCGTATTCAGCAATCACTCCACATTTAGCAACTCTTCCCCACCCCTCACATACATCCCAGACAGGGGGCGTCGTCTTGGTGTTCGGGACATCTCTTGTCTGGCAGGAGAGGCCAGTGTGAGCGTCCTGCCTGGCCGCTTTGGAGTAAACCTCAGCTGCACGTTCTGCGGTGGCTGTCTTCACTGCTTTTAATTCCAGGTTCTTTTCTGGTCTTGTTTCCCTCTTGCCTCGACACTGGTGCCTAGTTGGGTGTCAGTGTTGGGGGAGAAGGGACGACACGTTCACTGAGAAGACACGGGAGACAGAACTTCATTAGGGAGGAAACACTCGTTGTGGAAATGTTGTGAAGCACCCGTGGCACATTCAAGTGGGGTTCTCTGGAAGACTGCTAGGCAACCCAACAGGAATTGGGGCGAGCAGCGGGTGCAGCTCGGGGGGTAGATGGAGGGAGCTCGTGGTGCAGAACGAGAAGCGACCGCCCGGAGGAGCAGGAGAAGCCAAGCGAAGACGGTCTCCAGGAGAAGGGGCCAGCTGCTGGGTGAACGATGATGAGGAAGGAGAAACAGCACGGGCTTCAACCAAAACGGCCAAAGGGAAGGGACATAAATAGGCATGGGTAATTGACATCCGTGTTCAGTTTTTGCTGTACCACTTAGTTCAAGTTTCCGTCAGAGCTTGTATATTAAAGTAATGAAATGGTGTGTCCAGCTAGATGCGGAAATGTGGTAGCGTTTCCCAAATAGTGAATTTGTTGGTTGGTTCATTTAGCAGACCTGCTAGGCACTGAGGATACCGCTGGCAAACGAGACAGACCGGAATATCCCTGCCTTGTGGAGCGTATAGCCTCACGATGGACGAGAGACAACGCGTGCGCACACACGCACGTGTGAGGGGACTGGGGGATGATGTGGGGAGACTGCCTGCTAGGGAGCCAGCCCAACTGGATCTCTCAGTCAGCTCACCCAGTTTTCTAATGTCACCATTCCTTTTGTTAAAACCAGTAAGTAGCTCTTGCGTTTTTGTGATGATTCTAGAGCAAATTTGCTTCACCAGTTTCCAAAATAGCTGTAAATATCGTGGCTCTGAAATCTAGGGCAAACTGAAAGGCCCTCAGGAGCCCCTTGCAGCTTTACGGCTTGTCCGTGGTCATTGCTTTCACAATAGCTATCTCAGTTTGATGTATTTTGGATTTTAAGTAATTAAAAGTCAAAGGAATTTACAGCATTAGAACCTAACCTGTATTTATTACCCACATGAAAAGTCATACACGTTAAGGTCTAGCAGTGTTTGCCTTATTTAATCAGATGCTGCCGTAAAGTGTCCGTGGTCGGTAAATACCTGAAATTCCGTAGATGTGATGGAGGCGTCCGTGTTCGTGAACAGTGTGCAGTGGTATCGGGCGAGCTGGCCTGTTCAGAGAGTGGAGAAGTTCTAGATTAAGTCATTTTTGGGTGAGGTCATGTTACGATTCACTTACGTGGGAACTTAAGATTTGCGTGCTCCCTCAGAGATGCTCTGAAGCATGTGTTCCTCTAATGTATTGTTGAAAAACTTCTTGGCGCAGCCCTTGGATCTGTGGTCCAGGAAGCAGATTCATCTCTGCAGTATAACCATGCCTTTGAAAAAGATCTTCTAAAACTTGTTTGTAGTGATTTTAATAAAGCACTTTCAACTGAAGGATTTTTCTCCAAAAGTTTACAGGGGCAGAGGGGAGCTTTAGAGTTCATAAGAAATGCCAAATATTTCCGAAGCTGCTTAGGTTAGGGATGTGAAAGCTGGAAACAGTGGGAAATGGTCCGCTAGAACGATCTTGCTAGAGAAATCTAGTTTAAGGGAATACTGAGGAAAATTAGGATCAAATGTTACCTCTGAATTTCTCAGCCAGCAGAATCTAGATTTGAGACCGAATCAGCTTCTTAAATCAGGTGTCTGTAGGCTGAAAGCTACAGAAATTCTTAGAAAATTATATGTAAATGGGTAAAATAAACAGTTTATCTAATATGATGTTTCTACAATTTCTTCAGGCAGATAGTCTTCTTCTAAGTGATGAAAAATCTTTGATTTGGGGTTTAGTTTTATTGAAAATGCTTTTTAAATTATTTTTCTGAGGTGGGTAGTGAGTACATGGGTTTATTGCACTGTTCGTTTTTCCTTTTATGTCATACCTACACACGCTACATTTAGGAACATATCTCACTGTCATTGATGATCGACCCGCGCTCCTGGCCGTTTCAGGCGGGCAGCCCTTCCTTTCTTCTTGCTCTTCCTGCTGTGCTGCCAGTGTCCTTAGAATGTGGGTTTGCATAAGGGTTCTGGGTGCTATTTAACCAAACTGTTCATGTTGCTCGCTGAGCTTGTTTGGTGATTGACAGTATACTCTAACGTGTGCTCTTTCTTTATATTTCAGTCTGATAGTGGAGGGGCTTTTAAAGGTTTTAAAGGCTTGCTTGTGCCTTCTGGAGGAGGAGGAGGGTTTTCTGGATTCGGGAATGTCGCTGGAGCGAAGCTTTCAGGACTGTCAAATGGAAATAGCATAACTAGTGCCCCTGTGCCTACCAGTGCAAAGGCGGCCACAGAGACCAAGACAACCTTTGGTGAGTAGCTGCCTCTCCCTCACCACATCTGAGTATAATCTGTGAAAAGGAACTTTGCCAAGATGTTTTTCTTAAATGCTTATCCTGGTATTGGGACTCTGAGCAAAACGGTGATAATGAAAGGGATCAGAATCTGGGAGACATTGGCTGTTTACAGAGTATGTGGGTAGAACACAGGCTTTTGAGCCAAAACAGACCCAGCTTCTGTTCTCAGCCCACCAGTTACCAGCCTGTGACCTTGGTAAAGCCCTTGACCTCTGAGCCTCAGAATCTTTGACTCTGTAAAGGCATCCCATCCGTCCATCCATCCAAGGACTTTCCCTGGGCCACACACCAGCATGGCTGGGAGGACTCAGATGACATTGTCCCTGGTCATAGGTTTGTCTTGCACTGCATGCGTTGATGGCCTGACCTGCTTTGAGGGAGTGAGTCAGGAACTCTTGTGATTAGTAACAGAGACTGGGATCATGGGTTAAAACCTTCAGCTCTTTGAAATGATCCCGATTGATTAGATTGTACCTAGCTAATTATTTTGAAACAGTATACTATTTAATTTGAATTTAGTGTGACTAAAATAAACACTTTTCTGTTAGGATTTTAACTAATATGTGTACATCCGTACACCTTTAGGGTAAGTTTTATGCCATCCTAATATGGCAGGAGTCCCTGGGTGGTGCAAACAGTTAAACGTTCTCTGCTGCTGACTGAAAGGATGGAGGTTCGAGTCCATCCAGAGGTGCCTCCGAAGAATGCCCTGGCAAACTACTTCCCCAAAATGAGCTGTTGAGTACCCTGTGGTGTACAGTTCCACTCATACATACGGGGTCACCGTGAGTCGGAATCGACTTGGTGGCAGCTGATACTGGTAATAGTCTGACAGTTCTGTTTGTAAATGGCCATCCTTTTGAAGGCAAAGTGTTTTAAAATTGTTGAGGCTCAATACAAGCATGTAATAGATTCTTGTATACAGCTTAATTTGATCTTTATATACCTCGTTCCTAAATGGTAGCTGTGCACATACTTCTTGAACTAAATAACTAAAATAAGATACGATAAAAGCAGAAAATACGAAGAGTGTTATAAAAAACTGGGATTTTAATCGATTCAGTTTCTCAGTACTTAAAACTTTAATTTCCTATAGGTTCTATTGCTACAAATGGCCCTACCTCCCTGGTCGAGAAGAATATTCCAGATCCCAAAACTAACAGCGACAGTCAGCAGCCGTCCGGCTTTTCGGCCAGTACAGCGTGCCACGGCAGCAGCGCCTATCACAAGCAGTTAGCGGCCTTAAATTGCTGCGTCCGCGACTGGATCGTGAAGCATGTGAACACGAACCCGCTCTGTGACCTGACACCTATCTTCAGAGACTACGAGAAACACTTAGCAAATATCGAACAGCAGCACGGGAACGGCAGCGGCAGTAGTTCTGAAAGTGACACTGACAAGGTGTTGGTTGAAGCACAGCCTCCTTCACTGTTTGGTTCAACAAAATTACAGCAAGAATCAGCGTTTTTGTTCCATGGCAACAAAACTGAGGCTCCGTCCGAGAAGATGATGGAGGCCGCATCTGAGAAGACGGACCCGTCCCCAGGAGCAACAAGTGCCTCGTTTCACTTCGGCAAGAAAATCGACAGTGCAGTTTTGGGCTCGCTGAGCTCTGGGCCCCTGACGGGGTTCTCATCCTCCCCAGGAAACGCCGGCAGCTTATTTGGCAAAGATACTACCCAGAGCAAACCAGTGTCTTCGCTGTTTGCCACCAGAACGCTGGAGAGCCAAGCAGAAGATGGGAGCAGTGAATGCAGAGGTAACTAGAGAGTGTTTTCTTGTAAGTTGAATGTATTTTAGACTTGGGTTTAGTGGAGAAAGCAGACATGACTGAGGTGGACTGGATACAAACCCTGGCTCTGTCACGGATTCTGGACAAAGCTGATTAACCCTGCTGAGCCTCAGGTTTCTTACTCGTAAATGGGAGTAAGACCGATTCTGTAGGGTTGTTACGTCGATTGAGAATAGAAAAACATCTGTCCCAGTGACTTTGGCTTTGCTTATGAAAGAATGTAGTGAGTTAAAAGCATTTTTTGACAGTTGTGTTCTGTTGAAAAAAGTTCATGAATATCCACGAGACTTCATATTAAAATCAAAATTGTTTGGAAAAATTTACTTGACTGTAATCGACCCCTTTAAAATAAAAAAGGTCGACTTTTTCTAGCCCCAGGGAGCACGTTGACAGTGTTTTCTCAGGAGGGAGCTGGAGTGCAGCCACATTTCCAGAAAGCAGTGGTGGTGACTGCTGGGTCTGCAGTGCGGTGTCAGAGTGGACAGGCCAGGAGGAGCACCTGGAGCTTGGTCCCACTCCTCCGCTCCGGCAGCCCCCTCCCTCTGCTGCACTCAGCCCTAAAAGTGGATTTACGTGGTACCCGTCTTCATCATGGCCGGCGTTTGTGCCATGATGTCTGTGCAGATCCTTGTAACCAGTACAGAGTGCACCTCCGAGAAGTGTTAACATCAATCACCAAGAAAGAAAATGGCGCCTGTCGCTTTGCCTCTGAGTATTCTGTGTTTCTGCCTGGACCTAGCTCTCCATTGCTGTTGTGTTTTGCCCTGCCTTCTAGTTCATCCTGGGCAAGGGCTTTCAGCAGGGGCAAAGGAGGGTCTCCCCTCTTATTTCTTCTCCGCCCTCAGTAGGACGTGCAGGCTTTCCAGGCTCCAGGGCGCCCGCAGGGACAGGGAAGCTGGAGCTCATAGAAGGGAGGTTGAGTTTGAGTTGCAACTCCTGGTGCAGGTACCCCTCGGTCACTTGCTTTTCTAGGTAATTACCATACTGTATGCACCTGGAAGACCTGGGACGCTGATCGACCTCCCGGGAGAGCCTGACTCGGGGCCTGGGAGCTTGCTGTTGAAAACTCCCGGCAGCTGCTCAGGCACCCCAGCTTCAGAGCCTGGCCTGACCGTAGCTTTTGTTTGTAGCTGTTAGTTTTAGTTTCTTTTTATTATGTGTAATTTCTGACATAAAAGTAGAGAGAACAGAAGAATGAACCCAGTACCCAGGCTCAACAACAGTACCTTTCTTAAATTTAAATCTTGTGACCTGACTCATTTGAGCACCGGAATTTTTTCTTAGACAAAAGTCACTTAGTAATTAGACTGGACTGTGGGACATAAAATGATGCTCGCGAAGCGTGTGCCTCTTAGTTCAAGTAGATACATGAGACTAAATGGGCAGCTCCTGTCTGGAGGTGAGATGAGAAGGCAGAGAGGGTCTCAGGAGCTGGTTGAATGGACATAGGAAATCCGGGGTGGAAAGGAGGAGCGTGCTGTCATGTTATGGGGAGAGCAACTAGGGTCACATAGTAATGTGTGTATGAATTTTTGTATGAGAAACTAACTTGAACTAAACTTCCGCATAAAGCACAATTTAAAAAAAACAAAGTTGCTTCTTAGTATAGTGAGTGTCACGCTGCACCTCGCTCTTTAAGAGCGCCTTTCTGTCTGTGTCTAAATGCTTCTCAACTGTGGTCCGGTACTGTCGCCGATGAAGGTGTTCTGACCCACCCCTGAAGGGAATGTCGGCTTACAAGGCAGCAGTGTGGCACTTCGCACCGGGCTTACCTACGTTAGACTTTTTCTCCAACAGCTTGCCCTGTAAACGTTTCATTTTCCCCGGCCGTCGCCCGTGTTCGTTACCGTTGGCGTGATGCGGCCGTGGTCCAGGAACATTCGGGGACGAAGCTGTGAGAAGCCCGTCTGAGATTTTAGCTGTCTGCTGGGTTACCTGACCGCAGAGCCGGGTGTCGGCTGCTTTTTTATCTGTCAGCGTTTGTTGCCTGTAGGCTGAGTCAGACGTGTGGACGTTTTTTCATTCCGGGGATTTTTATAAATTAGAATTTATTTCCGAATTGAGAAGGATGTAGCCATTAAAAAGGATTCTTATTTTCACAAAAATAATTAAAATCCAGGGGCTCCTCCCCTTCCTCCCCCCCCCGCCCCAAATTAGATGTTTGCTTTCAAAACTTCTATATCGGCTGACGTTGAGTTTTTAGGTCGAGGTGTGGGGTGGTAGGTAGACACCTTCTGTGCCCTGTCAGACTGTGGATCTGAACTTCACTGAGTCACTGCTGTTTTCTGAAAGCCGAGGTTGAGTTTTTAGGTCGAGGTGTGGGGTG